TCACAAAGGGAGTAATGATGTGATTTGCCTACATCAACCTGACATACCAGTGAAGATGGGACCACTGTGGTTATTTGAATTGAATAAGATTTTGACCAAATTTCTCAAGTGTTAAGCAAAGGAAACCACAGATATGTGCAGACTGACTAAGGAATGTATTCTGCCTTGTAAATATTCATACCGAGTTACCAGACATAAAGGAAGAGCTAGGGTTCACAGAAAGGAGTAGCTAGCTCCACTTTCTCTCTTTCTCTAACTTTACAAATGATATTTCTATGAGTATTCATCTCTCGAGGAAGATACAGGACCATAAAGTACTAATAAACCTGTTTGTTCACACAAAGATGGTTGATTGACAGAGAATTACTGTGGTAGTAGAGGATGCGTTACCTATGTTGACCTTATGGAGCTCCAGTTAGCCAATTCAGTTTCTAGCCAGTCTACATATAATGAGTTCAATGTGGTGGATGCCAGGGCTGCTTTGATCGTTATCACTGCCCACCCTTCACAATTTTTAAAGCAGTAGAAATCCAGAACCCCCTTTCGTTACTATATTCATTGAAAAGCAAATCTTGTCAGAGAGGATAATTTAACACTGGTCATTTATAAAATATCTCATTGTAATACTATTTTTTTCTATTATACAGATATTTCAGCCAATCCTGAAATTGCTGCCAACCAAGAATTTTAAAAATCTAAAATTTACCTCCACAAAGTCCCAAATTATGTCAAATTTAAGTATCTACTCAGATCATTTTGCTTTGACATATAAGAGCAATCTTATAGCTAGGAACACAATTTTATGGAAAAAAATAAAACAAATAATGTACATTTTAAGATACTGATACTGATCTTTTACCACAGAAGGAGGATGAATTCTAAAAGATCACTAACCTAGAAAAACTCTTCCAAAATGAGGTCATATAAAAAGAGGGGTAAATGTCTTCCATAATTATATTCTGATAAATTTATTATTTGTCAACCTGTGAAAGAGAGACGGCTATGGTGCAATGAATTCCAGAATTTTATTACATTTGTTGTTCATTCACTTCAAAAGGAGAAAACAAGAACAATATTCCCTTAAATGAACAACAGAAAGAAGGTTAGGCAAAAAGAATTTTGATTCTCATTCATTAGTGATATACTAGTGTCATTGTATATTAGAGGTAGAGATCTTGAATTTATCCTCTTGCCTGCATAGGGCAAAGTAATCTGGCATTGGTTCAAGTTATTATTTGTCTCCTTTCAGTGCAAGGTATATTAAATAGTATGTAAATAAACATGTCAAGCAAAACCTATTTATTGTTCCAGGAAAGCCATTTGGTACAGACTGGAAAATTAACATCTTTTTTAGACACTTTTTCTTCCCAACAGGTTGGTACATTTAAGACAAATATATATCATAGCCTGGTGTTGTTAAAGGTATAACTATGCCTCTTGCATCTGGAGTTTAATAAAAAGTAGTAAAACAAGTTTTAAAGTTTGTTGAGCTTTAACAAAGTAAGTCGGTATTTTAACTTTAATTGAATTTTGATCATTTCAAAGGTATATTCATGCCTGTATGTTCATTACTCCACAAAAGAAAAATTTAGCTTTAATCAAATTTAACAAAACCAGAGAAAGGAAGAAATATGGTTGGAAAAGCTATTCTCATTCACCATTATGTTTCATTTACTTGGCTGCCCAATCTGTTTACTCTGTCATAGAAATTGGCAAAATGGAATTGATCTCAGATGAACTTCTGCAAACTTCTCCTGGCCTGGAGCTTTTGGGAATGTCTTCTAAGGATGGGAGAAAAAAACTACCAAGTTTGATGTATTCAGTGCCCTCATTCAACAATTAAGAATACCAAGCAAAATAGAGACAGGCTCAGGGAGAACAGGCAGTCAGCTCTAGTGAAGGGGAGTAGGGAGGCAGTAGAGGGGTTGAGGAAAAAAGAAAAAAAGAGGGAGGGAACTCATAAACATAAACTAAACAACAGTGTGGTTATTGTGGGTTGAAGGGGGAGGTGGAGGTAGAAGACAGCATAGAAGGGATAAATGGTGATGGAAAAAATAAAATAAAATATATGTTTTAAAAGAATACTTGAAGCAGCAAACACAACATTAATAAATACAGAGATGAATGAGGAATAATGTAAGAAAATATAAATTTTTGTCATCACAACAGTTTGAAGAATAATGTCTTAAAATAAACTAATTTTAAAGCCCCAAACAAACAAAAAACACTACTCAGCAATTAGTTTCATGGTGTGAATGATACGATGATACATGCATCCAAGTCATAAGGAATTAATGGTAGCACTTAAAATATTTTTTTAGAGACTGTTTATTATGACAATTATTATTATAGGTAGGAGTAGGAGTAGAAATAGGTTTGGATTTGGAATAATCCAGCATCACCAATTTATAGAGGGAGGACCAGAGATGGATCAGAATTGCTAAGGGTTCAGGTGAGTAATGAAGGCCAGAAGTCAGTCAGTGGCAATGGGGATAGAGGGGGTGACCACGGGACCAAATCGCATGCTTCAGACCTGCAGGTATTGCTCAGTGGCCGAGTGTTGACCCATGAACAGAGACATCAGGTTTCGATTCCTGGTCAGGGCACATGCCCGGGTTATGGGAGGCAGCCGATCAATGATTCTCTCTCATCATTGATGTTTCTCCCTCTGCCTTTCTCTCTCTGAAATAAATAAAAATATATTTTAAAAATAGGATGTTTAATTAAATAGCATTAACAATATACAGCAAAAAAGTAAGAGGGTGAAGAAAGACGGTCAGGCCTATTGAATCAAAGTCTTTGTCACAAAATGAGAAGAAAAAAACACAGAAGGTAAAGCATCTCAATGAGGGAGAGGGGGTCAGTGACATAAAATTTAGAAACAGAGTCTGAAGAGCACAATGGATGCTGGAAGGGCAGTTGTATATATAATTCTAGAGTGCAAGAAAATATGCTGGATAGAAATAGACATGTGGGTTCATGGTGAGAAAACAGCTGATGAAAGAATGGACCTGAACAAGAACACCTGAGGAAAGCAATGCAATAGAAGGAAAGGAAAGCCTAGGCTTCCGTCCTCAGAAATAGCATCATTTAAGATGTGGGTGGAGAGAAATACATCTATTGAAGAACAACAGGAGGGAACAGGCAGAGAGGAAGGGAGCCAAAAGAAACTGAGGGCATGAGAAGGAAGAGGAAAAAGAATGTCAAGATAAAGAGTGTCCTCTTTGTCAATTACTCCAAGAGAGCAAGCAAAAGAAAAGAAAAATAAGAAATAAGATTCCATTAGATATGATTCTCAGAAACTCAGAGGTAACCATAGCAAAAATAGGTTCTGTGAAGCATAGTCAGAATATGAATAGAATAACATATATTGTGTTGCCCTATTCTCCCTTTACATTAAGATATTTTGTGTTTTTCTATCCCCCTACTATCTACACGAATAAAAGAGAAACATGCAAATTGGTGTCACTATGCTACACCCAACAGCCAATCAGGATGAGTATGCAAATTAACCCAACAAAGATGGTGGTTGATTTGCATATGCAGGCATGGAGCAAAGACTGAAGACGACTGAAGAGGCTTGGCTTCTCCACTACAGCCCGAGTGGAGAAGCTAAGTCTTGCTTCGGCTGGAGCAGAGAAGAAGCCAAGCCTCTCCGCTGTGGCTGGACCAAAGGCCTGGGTCCTGGGTGCTGGAGGAAAACCGGTGCTGGCAGCCAGGGAAAGGAAGGCCTATTGCACGAATCTGCATGCAATGGGCCTCTAGTTATATCATAATGACTAATCTTGGTTGCCACCCTGGCACCTAAGGCTACACCTCATAAAACATTTTCTCAATTATTTTGATCTTGTACACAATAGTCAAAATAGTAAACCTGTGCAAAAACCTAAATAGAAAATTTATCTCTAAAAATCATTTTCCTATAGAGAAAACCCATTATGTTTATTTTCCAGGGGAAAAAAATTAATAAAAGTCCATATACATTGAAGTGCTGTTCATGTATCATGAATTTACACAGGGAGAAGAGGAGGTGATCAAGGCCTAATCCTCTGCCTGTGAACCTGAATCCCCAGTGATTCTTGAAGAATAAAATAAGATATTTTACATTATTGTATTGTAGGTTTCCTAACCTCGGGGATATAGAAGTCAAAGCAGTCAGATGCTCGGCAGAAAGAGGTAGTGATGGCTCCCCAAACAATTTGGGATCAGGGAAGGTAACAGTGGGAGACAATCCAATCACCGTTGTTATCTAGCATAGACAATAACTGTCTTTGACTCACCAAGAACTTTGGATCCTTGAAGCAGATAAACAAACAAACAACAAAAAAATGCCTCTCATGGCTCAACTTACAAAGTGTTAACCATTCTCTGGCAGCCAAAGAGCTTAAAATTCAAGACCAGGCAGCAATCAACTGTGTCCCGTTGGCAGCGATTCTCTCAAGAGCCATCTTGAGCCCTTCTACCACTTTCCTCACTGTGCTCTCTTGTACGTTTGATTTTCTGCCTCTGGGTCAGCATGAGAGCGCAGCACACCAAGTGACTGTGGACCTGGAGTAGGTAAATAATTAATTCTCAGCTCAGCCAGAAGCCACTACTGCTGGCTTCTTATGACAAAAAGCCACTATTACCCTGACTCCAGGGCTGAGTGCACAGACTCGGGAAATGCCCTCGAGAGCCATGTATTTGCAATACGAGTGACTGACGACCCCGCCCCCCCCTTAGCACGGTTTCCTACCTGCTATCCCCCCAGTGGCATCCCAGTGACCAGGAGCAGCCTGAGAGAGTCTGTGATTCTTTTCTTTTTTTTTTCAGTTTTGAATTTTATTTCATTAGCTTAAAAGGTGAACAATATGTTTCAAATCTTATTAAACTCATTTGTCTGAATATGTTTCCATAGAGCACAGATACAGGATTTCAAGTAACTTATGGTAGAGGCCATTGTCCACTTAAAAATAAGCTTCTTTCTTCCACAAAAACTGCACTGAAAGGCAAAAAAAATAATTTCTTAAATACTGCATAAGAGCTAGATGCAAACTTCTGATGTAAATTTATTTCATTGTCAACCCTCATGCGAGAGCTGGGAGGCACAGATGTTCACAGTTCAGTTAAATGATACAAACAGAAAGCTTCCGTTTCTCTCAGATACAAATCAGAAACCTCCATCCATGTCTCTTACAGTAGTATGCCAGACTTGGTTGTCTTGCCAGGTCACTTCTTCTTCTTTCCTTTCCCTTTTTCACTTCCCTCTCCTTGCTGAAGAGTTTGGTCACTACCTCCTGTTTTTTGTGTCCTTGTTTTTAGGTTAGGAATCATTTCCGCTGCATACAACATTACTGCCTTCCGTGATGGGAACGGTACAAGACAGAGGCTGCCATCTTCCTGTTTGAGTTGAACCCGGACTCTGCCCCTGTACTGAGCATCATGATTCCATTCTCTGGAGTACATTTTGTTTTTCTCAAGAAATGCATTAAGTCCAACTGCTGAGCACACATCTTGAATCTCTGTAGCTGTAGGATTTTCAACAGCCTTACGTATGGGGATTCGCCTGCCCTCCGCGATGGTCTTCTTGTTATTTAAATAGGCAGGGTGTATACAAATAAACCTGTCCTGGTTGGCTGGGGACCGAGCCTCGGCGCAAGCCATCTCCGCGGTGACCACTGGGGGAGAGTCTGTGACTCTTGCACTCCCTCATTTATTTTCCCTTACCACACAATAGCCTGATTCAGTCTGTTGTTATATACCCTTTACTATTTTTGCAATCAGAAGATCTGTTTTAAAAGTATTAAATGATAAGACTGGCAGACACTTGGAACTCTTTTAAATTTAAAACCAATTTAAATGGCACATATCGTTACTTGGCCTTGGAAATGCCATTGCTTTCACAAAGCTGATAAAACAAGCAGGTCAAAGCAAAAGGTCTATTCCAAGGTTACAAAAATTTCGTTTTTAAAATTTCAAAACCAGATACATTGGTCATTCATTTGAAGTTCTCTATTTCATGCTAACCATGGCGTGTGTAACAGGAAAATAACCAAAAAAGGTCTTGATTCAGATGAACTCTCTCTTCCTCCTAGAATATATATATATATATTTTACAAGAAATATCATAAATTTTTACTTTCCACTCACTAATTTCTTTCAAATCAACTATTTTGAGTAAACTAAAGATTAAAAAAAGTCAGTGCAATTGATTCAAATAATCTAGAGATTTAAATAAAGCCTAGAGAGTGAAAGAAATGCATTTCATATCTACCCAACGATGTCACTAGTGACACCCTCACTGACCAAGGCCATAGTGATCTCTGGAAGCCCCCTGATGCAGGGATCTTTCCAAAGGCTGTGACTATCAGGGCTATGGGCCCAGCAACCTTACTTTAACCAATAACCACCCCATCGAAATCTGGCCACCATATCCGAACACGGCTTTGGATGGAGAAAGAGGTCCATAAAATGTATTTGAACCACTGACTTCACACCTCATCAGTAAACAGTAGCTGAGAATATCTCTCCTCCTTTGCTATACTTAAAGATAATCTCTTCTATCTCCTTTCTATATATGTATCTTATTTCTTTAATGTCTTTAAGTTTTTATATAAAAAAAATGAAAAGAGTGGCTAAAATAAAGAGTTGCTGTTTTCCTGAAATTTTGATTCAAGTATACAAAGACTCCTGACACAAAATAATACTAGGGGAGATGGGGACGGCCTAGGAAGAGAAAATTCAGAGCAAACAAAAATTAGTGTCTCAAAAAAGTATCCTGCCATTATAGTGGTTAAGAGCCTAAACAAACCTGTATTCATATCCTGGCCCAGCCATTTATAAGCTATGTAACTTTGAGCGAGACATTTGACCTCCCCCCCACAACATTTTATTGAAAAAGAATAATGAATAACATATACATGCTAATATATCAAGAGGAACGTGCAGCTACCTGAAGTGCATAGCTCAGCGTACTTCCCCAAGGTGAGGAAACTTTGGACACCAGCACCCACACTGAGAAAAAAAATGGCATGAGCCCCCAAGCAAGTCCCTTCTTCTAATGCCCTTCTCCTCACTTGCTAAGGAAACCACTATTCTGACTTCTAACAGCACAGTGTAGTTACTGCTTGGCTTCTGTGAACACTGTCTCTTGGCCTCTTAGCTACATCATGAAGTGCGGATTTCCGCAGTACCTCCATGCCGGGGTTGTTATGAGAATTACATGAGTTAATACTTGTGGAAAACTTAGAAGAGCCTACCACAGAGTAGGCTCTATGTTAGTGTTTGTTTATTAAAAATGCATATTTTAGGAAAATTAATCCATGCTTAATCCGTGACGTAGTATAAGTTGCATAAATCTAAACCCAGGAACTGTAATTAAAAATAGTTAAGTTCACACATGATGAAGTAAATGAAGATCTGCTCTAGTTAGACTGAAAATCAATTTCATAAATGTATTGTTCACTTTTACACAGAGACCTTAGAAAACTATTATACTGATTTTTCAGATTGGTATGGTTGAAATAAAATTTAAATGTAGCTATTCATCTCAATAATGATTGAATATAATTTCTCTTGGAAACCCAATCCTTTTTTTCTACTGTGAAACAGTTATACCTCATGTCAGATGTCATTTCAAAGAACCTCTGGATATTGTCCCCATTTACTTGTTGTATTAAATATTTGTATACACAAGTATTAAGTTGAAAAAGTAGACTTAATAGATTTGCAAATTTTTGGATTGATTAAATATGGTTATTGAACTTAAAAAATATAACCTTATTAAACAAGATGTATGTAGTGATGATATACCTGCCATCAGATTAAAGTGGTTCACTACATACCAAAAGGGATGAGATTAACATTAAGAATCCTGTTTCATTTATCATCATTTCATGCAGTTGATTTTCAGTCTTTAGAAATAAAGAAATGTTGTAACTGAGCCACCAGAAGACCATATGACTGGACTTCAAACATTTTTTTAAAGGAAAAGAAAAGAAAGCACAAAATAATTGTTCCGAGTTGAAAGAACATAGATTAAAATAGCTTTTCTTGTAAATTTTATATTTGTTTTTCTTATGTTTATAATGAACATCTATTATATTACCACTTCCATGTTATGAAATTCTTTACACTTAAGCACTCATAAATTATGTGTCTAAATATTCAGTGACATTAGACAATCAAGCACTCGTCTATCAAGATACAATTTCCAATGTTAATATTTGGGAAACTGTAGAGCAAAAACTAAAATGAAGTCGATTATGTTAGATGTAGATAATGCAGGCTCATTAAAGAAAAACAAAACCATACCTAATATCAGATGCGAGAATTTACAGCTCTTCTCTGATATCAGCAGAGGATGCCAATTAATTACCAAACCCCAAATCTGTCCACGGGATGTTTGACCCTCCTTGTTCCCTTGACTCAGCTACTCTGATTTAAATAAGGAAAAAGATCACCAGGCAACCAATTAGCTGAAAATGACAAATAACTTTCACATTTACCCCCATAAAACCCCTTTGGTCTATGAGCAAATTGGGCTAATTGGTCCCATAGCCTTGAGGTGCCTGGCTTGCAGGTCAAACCCTTGCAATCAACTCATCCTTCTGCTCTGTTTTTCTCAGTTTGCAGTTTGGTTTTTGATGAAACACGTGTCAAAATAACTGACAGTAATAAACTTCAAAGGTTTAGTATTGAAATTGGGGGAAAAATAATGTATTATTATTGTTGAAAGTATTACATATGTGCCCCTCTTTTCCCATTGATCCTTCCACCCGGCACTCCCCTCCCAGGTCCTCACTGCACTACTGTCTGTGTCCATGGGCTACACATATATCCACATAAGTTCTTTGGTTAATCTGCCCCCACCCACCCCCCCGACCCACACCTTCCCTCTGAGATTCTTCAGTCTGTTCCATGCTTCTGTGTCTCTGGATCTATTTTGTTCATCAGCTTATGTAAGACAAGTATCACATGGTCTCACTCATATGTGGAACCTAATGAGAACATATTTAAAGAGCTAACTTAAAGACACATCATGTCGCCGAAACCGGTTTGGCTAAGTGGATAGAGCGTCGGCCTGCGGACTGAGAGGTCCCAGGTTCGATTCCGGTCAAGGGCATGTACCTGGGTTGCGGGCATATCCCCAGTAGGAGATGTGCAGGAGGCAGCTGATCGATGTTTCTCTCTCATCGATGTTTCTAACTCTCTATCTCTCTCCCTTCCTCTCTGTAAAAAATCAATAAAATATATTTAAAAAAAAAAAAAAAGACACATCATGTCGTGTAGAGGTATCCTTCCTTACAGTGGGTGAATCTCTGAAGTTCCATTTCCACAAATGAAGCTCCAATATGTTTCAATTTTATTGAAAGCTCCCCCAAAAGCAAGAAAATGTAGCCCATATTTGGCAGACATGCGTTGTTTTAGGAATGATGTTACTATGCTGCTGGAGAAAAATACGTGAATTTTTCCAGGGAGCAGGATACCCTGTTCCTTAGAATGTTGGCACTAAGACACTTCGGGGGTATTAGAGGTCGTGCAGGCACCTGGGCACTCAGCCTCTGCAGTTACCAGGGGCCTGGCCCTCAGAGAGCCTTGCCTTGTCATCTGCTGCTGCTGTCCTAAATTCTCAACAATTTTTTCATAAGATGTCACCGTTGGCCTTTGGTTTGTACCAGGCCCACACACTATATGGTCGTCCTAATTAGAGGACTGTTCAATGCCCCAGTTCTCTCTTCGATCAACATGCTCAACGGGCATTTGCACACGTATTTTCCTTAAGACCATCTAGAACAGCGGTTCTCAACTTTGGTTGCACATTAGAATCACCTGGGAATCTTTTTAAAATCCTGATTTCTGGGCCTTACCCTCCGGAAATTCTGTTTCTTTGTTACTAATGTTGTGGCCCCAGCCCATAACAAAGAAACAGAATTTCCGGAGGATGAGGCCCAGAAATCAGGATTTTACAAAGATTCCCAGGTGATTCTAATGTGCAGCCAAGGTTGAGAACCACTGATCTAGAAAGAAGGTAAGTTGCAGCATCTGTCTTGCCTTGCTCATGAATTGTGTGACTATGCAAATTAGTTACATGCTGTTTTTCGTTGTGTCACCTGGGACATGTATTTTTTACGTTGCCTAGATTGTGTGAGAGTTGTATGAAGGCAAGAATCAGGGGGGAGGGGGCGGGGAGAGAGACAGACAGACAGATACAACCCTGCTAGCACAAGAACCCCGGCACCTAGCTTTTCTATACTCACCTGAACGTCTTCCCTTACTAATGTCTGTCTCACTGAAGCTCACCATTCCTTGTCCTAATTTCTCGGGTTTATTTTTATTGCCATGTTAATCACCAGCAAGCCACCCTTAGTGATCTGTCATTTGGATCACAGACTGTCTCTCCAGTCTTCACCTTGTTAAATTTAAATGCTAATGCTCTTCCTTATGGCACAGACTTTGCCTGTGACAATGACACCGGAACACGGGGGAACTATTTGACTCTCAGTGAAATAGCTAATCTCTTTAGTCACATTTGAGGTGTAAAAAAATGAAAAAATATTTTGAATCGAGTGTATGTTCTCAAATTACTTAATGACGGAGAACACAGGAGAAATAATAGGCAGATATTTTCAAAGTCTTTTAAAGCAAATATGGTCAGAAAAAAAAGGGGCGTTTGAAACTAGTCTCTGATACTTCCAGCTTCTCAGCAAGGATATTGGTTTGAGGGCTTAGAAGGAGTTTCTAATGAGCTTCCAAACCTAAAACTCAAAACTCCAAAAGGAATTCTTTTCTTTTCTGATGATGATGATTTTAGAACCAAATTCTTGAGAGTGTTCATTGTCTGGTGACCTACAATGATAGGGCGTTGAGTCAGATTATTGACAATATCAATAAACACATCTTCTGTCAACCACACACTTCTCACTCCCTGGATAGTAGGGCCTGAGCACCAGTTGGTTGGATCTAGCCTCTGAATGCCAAACTTAAGCCAGGGTGCTGGACACACTTGCAGCCCTGCCCCCGGGGAGG